ATTGTTGTTGTTGTTATTGTTGTTGTATTATTGTTGTTTATAATTTGTACAATTAACATCCCTGTTGTTCGACCCCGATCTTGCCGGGTTATTTATTACTTCGACACTCCTACACTTGGGAGAAGACAACAATCTTTTTGTCGTGTCAATAACGTCAAAATTGGAGCCACTTGAAAACATGAAAGTTGTAGACAATTGTCTCAGCTTTCGTGTGTAAAACATACAGCTCATTTGGACTTCTAGAACTCCAGATATGGCCAAAATACTGAACAGTGCTCGGGCTGGAGGACAGCTTCGGGCTTCTTTGTTGTTGCTACAATTTGGACTTGAAAATGTCCTTTTTAGATCTTAGGCTCCATATGAAAGTTATAGGCCTATGTCTTACCTTTCCATCCATATAAGGTAAACCTAAATCTGAGATCTATAGCTCCAGATATGACCCAATTACCAAACAGTGTTCCGGTTTGGATTGCACCGATATCTCTTTTCTAATTTTGGTCATCTCTTTGCTCTTGCAATTTAAGTTCTTAAAGTCATCAATCAATCCTTTCATTTATGTGATAGGCCTGCATTTAAAATAAATATTTACCACAAATTAAAGGTATCTTATATTATTAGATATATTATTATAAAACATGCTTTAGTTAAGGAGTTATTGATACTTCAAGTGCAAAATGATGATATAAAACCATGATAAAAATGCACTTTTAAGTACTAATCAGTGATGTATCTTTCCGTTACACAACTAGCCCCTTACCCAGACTTTAACAGACCATAAGTTCGTAGTAATTATAATACTAGGTGATGACTCTTAAACATTAATCATAATTTTATGATTAAATCAAAAAACCCTTTACAACACACAACACCTCACACAGGAGGCACGACAAGAGCCTCCATTGTTGCCAGACGACATCACGTCACTCGCACCCTACGACAATTGCTATGGGAGGGTTGAAAGGTTGTATTTGTGCTTCATAAAATTGACAAAGAAAATGAAAGATACACCTATATATCTCGTTGGTTCAATGTTTTTCACAAAGGATTTGATAACTTTAAAGTGAGGTTACCTCTTGATGATGTCGTGATAGAGGAAAAGGGGTGTGTGTGTGAGGGTGGAGGGGGGGTTAAGATTTGATTTGAGAAATTATTGACAATTAGATTAGATTTGAAAAGATAGTGGTCGGGCATCATATTCTTTGTTATTGGGAGCAGGACCCATCATTGTTTGTACTAGTAAATCACTAATGATGATGGTTAACATTATTTATTTGTTTGAAAACCTCTTTCCATCTTTTCTTTGCTAGAAACGAAATATTTCCAACAAGATATTATGTGTTTTTCATCGGTGTTTTTAAGCCCTATTGGTTTGATGAGTCAAAATAATAGTTTGTTAATCCAAGTTGTCACTCAACTTAGGTTTCAAATTAAAATAAATGAGTTGATCTAGCATAATTTATTATCTAAAAACCTGGATAAACTCGCATGTCAACAAAAGACCTGATATTTAGATTAATTCAAGTTAAAAAAAAAAACTCAAATAACTTGGTCAAAAATTCAATTAGACACGATCAAAAATCAATTATTAACTTGTTGAATTTTTATTTTATTTTTTTGTCAAAATAACATCATTTTCAATAAATTAAACTAGGTCAATCATCACAACTTGTGACTGATTTCTTATTCTAGGTCAATCCCAAATCAAGTTTTAAAATCATAACATTAACCTAATTGACTTTCAACCCTCTAGTAGTTGATCTAGTAAAAACCTAGTTTAATTTAAAAAAAAAAACAAAATAACATCATTGCTAATTTATACTAATTCTTGCTAATTTATACTAATTCAAGTTAATCTAAGATATAAATTAATCCAAACTAATCTAAGATATAAACTGGGGTCTATACCCTTAGCTGTGTCTTTTATAGCTTAATTCAAACTTGCATTCTTAACATTATTTTAGAAAAAGATTTTATAGAAAAGATTAATAAAATCGTTGTCCTTTAATATTTCTATTTTTCTTTTTCGTTTTTTTAAATTGTGAAAATTGGAGCGCCTATGATGCTCGTTTTGGCAAGGAAAAACATGGATTTCGGATTTTTCCGAGTCATGTACCATGATTTCAGCTGTCCTATGTCATCCTATCACAATTCACAAGTTTCGAATTTAGGGCTTGCCAATTACTCATTTAAGCTTGAACATTCAATAATAATGACAAAACAAAAGATGAACAGGACCAATGTGGGTGTTGGATTTCTGAGGAAATACAAAAAAAAAAAAAAAAAGGAGGGACGTGGATAAACAAAATTTATAACATCTCATTAGCAAACCATCCCTGTCAAAAAAAAAAAAAAAAAGAGAACCAGTCCGTTTTAAAAAAAAAAAAAAAAAGAGAACCAGTCCATCGTTGATCGAGCTTCAATTAAACGAGAGGCATAGGAATGAAACCTACTTTCCTATCCAGTGTAGAGGAGTTTTTTTTTTTTTTTTTCCCTTTTGGCCAATGGATATCTTCTATTTCTAAACAAGTAGAAAGTGATGTTTTATATCTTAACTTTCGACATTCTTCTTCTTGCATTTACAAATAGGAAAAGGAGTGCAAGGAGGACGACAATGCACATGGCTGATGAAAAGAATTTCCACATCGTGATCCCACCAAGGTTGTTGAACATGCTCTCCGCCTCCTGCATTAGAAAAAAAACATGGAATATAAGGCACCTCACATTCACCCCATAAGCTGTTTAAAGATGACCATGAAAAACAAAGAAAAATGTCGGAATAACACCAGGAAACACAAAAGCAAAAGTTTTAAAACTCAGTAACCAAACAGCTTAAGCCTGTTTGGAGGTGTTCTTAATTAGCTGTTCATCAAAATGTAATTATAAGATATGACAAATAGCTTTCCGTGCAAAGAATGTTTAGACACTGTTAACCATCCCTGCTCTTTCTTGGGTGGTGAAAAGCTATAAAGACTTGATTTTGGTGTTTCTCTAATGTTCTACGCCTTTTGTGATTGTGCTTTCTAGCATCTTTAATTAACTGCCAGATGCATATCCAGAGCATGGAATGAGATTGCATTTTCAAGTACAGGAAATAATATATATGTTGTCCAGTACCAAGAACAGAAAACTATCTTCAAAAGCTTCTTCAAAAAGGGCCATGGGTGGCTGAAATAGCAATACTCTTCATGAATACCACAGGACAGCGTACCATTAAAAAAGGTTGAGAGAAATAAACAGCTAAAAGAGTATTGTTGGGGTTTTTTGTTCACAAAACTACAATAGGAGTTACTGCATCCTGATAAGTCATCACATATTTAAAACCTATAACAGAACAGGATATTGGTGTAACAAGCAGGTGAAAAAAAAAAACAAAGAAAATAAGCATTGATGAGCATGGGTTAGAGACAGGAAGAGCGTCAAGAAGAGAGCACTGAGAGTGTTAAAACACGCATCACAATATTATTGAAGTTTCACCAGTCAATATTTTCTTAGGTGAAGCAATAACCAGTATGATTAAGTGTGAACGCCAGCAGAAACATGGAATAGATTAAATTTCTGAAAGAGATGCTTACCATACTAGACAACTTTTCCACCACATGCTTGTGTTGCTTTGCAAAGATCTCCTGAGCATATTTATATAGCTCCAAATCAAGGTGGTTTAGTGATCTTATCTGCTGAATAACCACCTCAGAAACCCTACTACGATCCTGTGAAATTTCATCGTGGAAGGGTTAGTAAGTAATAACAGGAGTGGATGCTTCCATAATCAAATCATCAGCAGTGAATCATAACAATTCAAAAAGGCGGTCTACCAACATTACAAAATGTTTCAACATTCAAAACACATGCATACACAAGTGAGACAGAATTCAGCATAAACTTCAAAATGCAATACATTGAATGAAGATGTTTGGAAATAAACAAATGTATAAATACAGGCAAGCAGAAAAGGAATTTCTACTTCTGAAGGGAAACAATCTGGAAAATGGAAAAGAAGCACTCTTAAAATAAAGAGCATTCCAGTCCAAACCAATTCAGCTACATGTCCGCCAGAGAAACACCCTTAAAAGTTGCAACAACATTACCACAAGGAAGCAAGGTTAGTTTTGCTGTCCTGTCCCGCATGACCAAAAAGAGAAATGTTCCTTGAAATTTTAGCATCTCTCTTTATCCTAACATAATTACTGCTAAAACAGCATAGCACCAAAAAATCTTCAAAGCCCCGTGGTACAACAAAAAACAAACATGCAGAGATGTGGTCTCCTGAGATATACTACTCTGCAAGATTAATGCTAGACTTATTGAAAGCCTCTGACTAAACAGCTTCAACTAAGGAGTCCCCTTCAGATTACACATAAAATCTACTAAAGGAACTGTAGAGGATCAGAGGTTTGGGAAAGAAATGACTTGAAGAAAAGCACCCCCCCTCCCACCCCCCCAAATAACCAGTCATTCCTCCTATCCAAATGTTTGATGTGTTACACATTTCTCATTGAATGTATTTATTAGCTTCAGCTAGACTTCAAATTTCAGACTACCCAGAGCAAAGCATGACAGTAAGCATCGTTTTTGGCTGCAGCCTGATCTATCACACAACAACGAATCCTGTCACCTGTTAATTCTTCAAGAAGCATAAAAAATGTCAAAGTTCATAGAAATTTGACAAATTATGAGGCAGGTTGATGATATGAAAAAGAAATTTGTTTAAACAAAAAAAAAAAGAAAAAAAGAGGGGGGTTAGACTAGCAGAAAGAATGGTCAGTGAAAGAAAATCTTGAAAAGTGCACCTCCTTCGAAAAGTTTGCTGGAGAGATTCTCTTCAAAGAAGACTTGCGGCGACGTGACTGGGTCTTTCGTAAACTAGACATGCAGCCTTCATAAGCTTCCATAAGTTTACCCACAGTCATCTAATGTGTTGGAAAGATGATCCAAGTTAACTTTTAATCTTTTAAAGGAAAGACAATTCATTGTATGTATACAATGTGCCTTACAGTTTCTTTCTTCTCTTCCAGATCCTTCGTGGAACCAATTTCATCTGCCTTGTGGTCTGAAGTGCTATCCTGTCATGAAGCAATAGCAAGAATACATGCTACTCTGCTTAGTATTCAGTGTCACATTTACTAAATGAACTGCCTTAATTACCAAATATCACTAGTGCCAAGAGCAAAGAGTTCACTCCTGCTCACCTGATTATCATCATTGTCAGGCAATGATTCAGCATGCGAAGAACCCTGCTGCTCTGTACCTCAAGCAAAGAATAAAAATAAAAATTATATGACTTGGAAGTGACACAACCACTTGAGGGAAGGGCCAAAGTGGAAATGGAATTCCTTCCCAAACCAACCTGATTTGCTATTAGCAGCACTCTCCATGCTAGAATTGTCTGTTAATGCCTGAGAAATCACCTGTGCACCGACTAAATTTGCAAACATAGTTGCAGACTCTCTGTGGTCCTCGGTGAGCCCAACATATAGCATATCATCCAACCTCTTCTGCAAGATTTACAAGTATCTACCATGAAAACAACCATGGAGCGAAAAATATCAGAGGAACAATATCGTGACACAACATTGTCCAAAATGCAGAAACCTATTGTAATTACCTTTGCAACTTCAAGAATATGTTCACCAAGAATCTTATGCTTCTGCACACAACAACGCACTTCATGTGATTCCGCAAAATAAGAGTTGTTTGTCAATCCTGCAACCTGTTAATTAAAACAGTTGGGAAGACTCCAAGAATTCAATGACTATAGTAGCCTGGATAGAGAGATTGTATAAAGAAAAAGGATTTAAGTACTGCATGCTGTGAGATTTAACAGGACAAGTACCTGGAACGTCTCTCCATTGTGTACAAGCTCATGGGCTCTAGGGTCATTGATATATTCCTGTAAAGGCATCACCATTTCCTCCATGTTGTATGGGTTATTCCTCTTAATGTCAATTGAGCCCATCCTTTTTCTAGCATCCCTCTGTCCATGAGAATAACACATATAAACATAACATGCAGCTCAAGGAAGAAAAAGCCTAGTCTTTAAATAAATTATTGCATTGTCATGACAAGTTTTAGAGGTCCATGCAGAATTGGTCCTGGTCATAGTAAAGAATATGTACATGCAGGTTAAAGAAATTAGAGTGAGATGATTACTGAAGAGGGACAAATAACATGGAGTATCTGTGTCTTCAAAATGGTCAGATACAATTAGAACTTAATTAGGTCTTGTTTTGAGTTGTATTTTTCCTGAAGGACAATAATGTGGAAGGGCATTCAAGATAAGTGCATACGTCCAAACAGTTATGAACAACGAAACAAAAGAATCAAGAAGAAATATCATGTTATAGAATAAACAGATGAAGTGAGAAATCCAAAAGGTAGCAGCAGATTACATGAGAAACATACCCGAGCAAAAAGGTCTTCCCTCATCCATGGGACCAAATATTTCCACGGCCATATATCCAATGTACTGACTCCAGTAGCTCCAGGGCGCAAGCGGCCAACCATTTTTGTAGCAGAAGTTAAGTTAGGATGCACCAAAAACCTAGCTGCAACTTCAATTGAGAATTCATAAGTGCTAAAGATGCGGTCAACTGGATTTCTAAGAATGGTCACCACTGAAGTTTTCTCCTTGGGAAGTTTGGACATCATGCTATAGTCATCGTGAGTTGTCAACAACCTGCATTCCTGCTTCCTGCACAAGATGCAAGCTACATCAATCAAAATTCCATAAATCAATAGATGGCCTTTGTCCCTTTTTATAGTGTTACAATATTTAAAATACTGCCATATGGTTGCTGCAATCAAGCCTTTCATTCTTCCTACCTCTGCACTTATAAAATTATAGACAGCAAGAACTTGCTTGATTAGAGGTGAATCTAGAGATGGGATGAGGTAGAGGTAATACTCGATATATAGAGAAAACAAACCCGTTAGGATTACCCATTGTATGTAATATATATTAGAGTGTTGTCACTTCAGCCTCCAAAAGAGATTTCAAAGAAATCAATTTTATCAATATCATCCATAAACAAACTGAACATTTAGTTGAACAAAAAGATGGAAAACCAGAATATAAGAAATAAAGAGATGCTGAATAGGAAACTGATACCTTGGATCAAACCGTAGCTTATCATAAGAACGGGGGCATTCTTGAGCATTAGCGTACAACCTTTTCAAGAAACTGCACGCACAAAAAATAAGGTAGTAGAGCTGTAAGTAAGGCCTCGAATTTGATCAAAATGTGATGTTCCATAGAGGAAATACCAGTGAAAATACGTGCGGCCACCAGTTCTGGGGACATGAAGGAAAAACAACAAATCTCGAAGTGTATGCTTGTCCTCTTTAACTCGTTGTTGAAGGGAAGAGAATGCCCAGTTTTTAACAACCTTCTCACAGTGGCTAAAATCACTCTTGATGGGACGGATATTGGCTAACACGGAAACAAACAAAAGGTAAATGCAGAGTGACCAGCAAAAAACAATATGTGAAAAACTTTAAACAATAAAAACATACCCAAAGCAAGAATCAGAAAGGCAAGCAGCTTCAGAGTAGGATCCATCCGGTTAAAGAAAAAAAAATCCCTCTACTCCTCCACCTACTGCCAAACAGACTAGGGTTTAGAAAGAACAGCAGAATGGAGAAAACTATCAAACAAGAAGCAGAAATTCACCTGTATTAAGTTGAGGAATCTTGTGCTCATAAATTGTTGAACACAACCCAAGCCCTTGCCTTTTCTTTTTTGAGGGGCTGGTTGGGATTCACTCCAGCTCCCAATCGATCAGGAGGGTCGAACGATTTTTCTTTTCACAACTCGAAAGACCAAATAAAATTTGTGTTTTCCCGAGAAAACTGGTGAATCAGGCTTTGGTCTTCTCTTGAGTTGTGTTGTGTCCCAAAAACAACAGAGACTTGCTCTGAATTGATGCACCTAAGACAGACAAGCCGATTAAGAATATTTGATCTTGGTGGGAGTTTCGTTTTTGTTCCACAGGGGGCATTTCGTCAAAGCGTAAAACAGCTTACATCACTGTCAATTAACTAATTAATTGTAAGAAGTTTAACTGATCAAATGAGCCGTTTTTTCAGAAAGGTTTTGGTTTGATTTTTTTTAGAAAAACTATATTTTATTAGAAGAATAATTATTCATTTTTTTATTTATTCATTTTTTTTGTATTAATAGGTTTTTTAATTTTAAAGTAAAGACAATTAAAATAAATGTTTTTAACAATTTAAATAACTTAAAATAAGTGGGAAAATGTGTATCTCTTCTATCTAAATTATATTTTTTATTAATGTATTTTTGTTTTGTTTTAATGAAAATATTTTTAAAAATAGAAAACATTGTGATTAAAATTAAAAAAAAGTCAATATCTTCTCAAAAAGTAAGTTTTAATAAGAAAAACATTAAAAATCATGTCTCTATGAAGCTACGTGCTTTTGGCATAAAAGCAATATTTAATTTAATGTCTGATTTGCTTTGAAATCAAAGTATATGATTTTTTTTTAAATACCCCACTTTTAATATTAAAAAAAATGAAGAACGGCTACTTTTTATTAAATCAAAAATATATTTTTTAAAAGGTTTTGTAAATGTGGTAGATTTTATTTTTTAAAATTTATTTTTAATATAAAAACATTAAAATAATTTGAAAATACTAAAAAATTTAATTGAAAACAAAACAAAAATAATTCAAATTTTGACAGAACCTCGTAGCTAATTAACTAAGCATTGTTCTTGCTAATGTTATTTTCATCTCAGAGTGCACACGCATCAATACCAGACAAACATTTCCAGTTATCTTACAAGTTTCGAATTCTTGAAAATGATGCAACAAAATAATTTATTTTAAATGGACGAATAATGTTATACACTTAAACCTGATTAAGTATGGCTATAGGTGTGTTTGAAATATAAATTATTAATATACACACACACACACTTCTAACGTCTGTAGAATAAAATTATTTTAAAAAATTATACTTCATACTAAAAAAATTGGGAACATCGCATCTCCTTCTTTATTTATATGAAAAATGAAAGAAATGAGTGTTTTTTTTTCCTATCACCTCCTTTTTTTATCTTCAATTTTTTTAATATTTACTTGATTTTAAATCTATTTTTATAAATTATATAAATTTATCATAATTTCAAATAAATATTATGATATTTGGTTTATATTTAATTTATACTTAATTTTATGA